GAAACGTTGGAAGATATTGGAAATAATTCAATGACCATTGTCGTATTTAAAAGAAATAGTTGAAAGAATGGAAAATAAAAAATACGAGTGTAATATATGAATGTATAGCTTACATATTTATTTGTAAAATTTTTTTTAATTGCTATGATATTTTGATAATGTTAAAAATAAATGTTAAAATATAAATATATAATATATTTATATCTTTAAAAGAAATTATCAGAACAATGAAAAATATAAATTTTTAAGATATTCATATAAAGAAACAAGAAAAAAAATTATGCGTTAAGTATTGTTCATTGCAATTGCATTTTATTCATAATTTTTCTTGATCTTGAGAAAGTAAGATGGAACAAATCAAATCAGCACTTTTAATAATTTAATATACTGTCAAATTTCATCAGTTTTGCTCTGCACATTTTGCTCAGGATTATTTTTTTTCGTCGACACTAAATATTAAATAGTTTTGTAATCTCTTCTACTGCATATCTTATAATTTTTATATTATACATATGGTTAATGAAGAATCAATATTTCATTTGCAATTTTTTTAAAATCACTTTCTACAATTAAATTCGATAAATTGAAATTAATAACATTAAAATTCGATGACATATTAAATTATTAAATTTTTCCATAATTATGTCTTTCATATTCAGACTCCACAGTTTGCATGTCTTTAGATTTCATAATTTTACTAAATTAAAAAAAAAATTGAAGTATTTATAATATAACATAAGACGAATCATTATTTAATTCTTAGAGGATTAATGTTTCTATGAGTGAATATTTCCCTGAGCAACCATAAATAGTTCTTTTAGTTTGAAATTACGAAATGCTTCGATTAATGTGATTCTAAAACTGTGATTCTTAAAAATATACATATAAGCTGTACATGATAATCTGCAAAAAAAAAAAAAAATTAATTACACCAAATTGTGCTTTAACTCTTTTCCAAATCATTTCATCATACTACAAGTTAGATTTGCTATGTGTAAGTTGTAATTGTGTGTAATAAAGCACGTGATATAGATATCCCATTTTTATTTGAAAAATCTTGTGTATATATACAGTTTGCGAAACAGAAACAAATAATTATGAAACACGTACGTTCGTGATAACTTGTTAATCTTCATTTAATGTTTCATTCTTTATGAGAATGGACAATCATTCCACATGTGATAAAAAAGCGATTCTTGAATCGTTTGATAGATGAAAGCGATAATCTTACACGACGCATGATTCACTAATGGAAACTGAAATTTTTCTATTTCCCATTTGACTATATCAAACTATTTTGATGGATTGCTGAAATCTCTCCGATAAAAGTAAATCCTAAATGTATGTATGAGATTTATGTACATTTATATTATTTATATTATTATACATATTATTATATATAAATTAAATATTATATTTTATTTATATTTATGTTATAATATTTAATTTATATATAAATCAAATATTATATATAAATTAAATATTATAACATAAATATAAATAAAATATAATATTTAATTTATATATAATAATATGTATAATATGTAATAATTATATATAATATAAAATATATAATAGAATTAAATTAAATATTATATTTTATTTATATTTATGTTATA